AGAAACAGTCTTGTTCCTGACTTTCCATTCACTCTCAACGGAACGGCCATCTCCGAATGCAACAGTTATGTGTACCTAGGTCGAGAAGTCAACATGACGAATGACCTGGCACCTGAGTTGCGCAGGAGGAAGAGCGTGGCTTGGAATGCCTTCAAGAGCATGGAAGAAATAGCTAAGAGTAAGAAGAACCTCCAAAAGAAGTGAAATCAAGGATTTACATAAGTGTTTGTATACTGATGTTCACATTGTTTATGATAGCAAATAGGCAGAAGCAACCTGCATTGTTTCCATCAAGAGATGACTACATGAACAAAATGTGATACATGCAGTCATCTGTTGTTTAATGATATTTCAGTCAATGATGATCCACTTATAAGACAGTGGTCCCTTGGGCTGAACAGATGTTGCAGGAGTTTAAGTGCTTGCCTTGCATATGACTGATCCCCGTTGGACCCACATCCCCACATGGTTCCCTCAACAGTGTCATGAGCACCTCCCAAGCACAGGGCTGGGAATATTGCCTGACCACCACTGGGTATGACCCCCCCAAAAAACAAAGAAACAAAAATGGGCAGTGGTTCCTGTGGCCATAACAATCTAAGTTTGTTTAGTCAGACACAATGAGGAAATAGCCTAATAATGCTTTTCTCTTAACGCATTCCCATCATTAAATAATACCTATATGTAGACTACCAGTGATGTACTGTGAGGGCTTTATAAAGAAGGAAATTCTGAAACATGTTACAATGTAAATGAACCTTGAAGACATCATCTAAGTGAAATAAAACAATCACAAAAGAGCAAATAGTGTAGGATTGCATTTGTTAGGAGGTTCCTAGATATTCACAAATAAAGGAAATAGAATTATGTTTGCCAAGGCCTGTGTGGAATGAGAAATGGAGCTACTATTTAAAGAATGCAGTTTCAATTTGGAAAGATTAAAAGTTCCTGGAGCTGCATAGTGGTTAAAAGTGTAGAAAACTATATCCCTCCACTTTGGGTCTGGAGGGTTTCCTCTGATAAGTTCTGCTATGAATTTTAGGGACGCTCCTTTCTTATAGAAATTTTCTTCCTTGATCTTGCTGCTTTCAGTATTCTATCTCTATGATTTTCATCATTCTGATTAGGATATGTTTTGTTGGAAGTGATCACTCTGGAGAAGACCTGGGTGCTCCAAAGGAGAGAGAGAACAAAAGGGAATGCCCTGCCACAGAGGCTGGGTGGGATGGGAGGATGGGGAGGGTGGGAGGGATACTGGGATCATTGGTGGTGGAGAATGGGTACTGGTGGAGGGATGGGTACTCAATCATTGTATAACTGAAACCCAAGCACAAAAATTTGTAAGTCTACAACTGTACCTCATGGTGTTTCACTAATAAATATTAAAAAAAAAGAACTGGGTACTGAGAGTAGGTAAAGGAACAAACATAATAACCCCTCAGTACCTGTATGGCAATCCATAAAGCCCAAAGAGAGAGAAGAAACGTGCCTGCCATAGAGGTAGGTTGGGGTGGGGGGGGGCATGTGGAGGGAAACTGGGGTCATTGGTGATGGGAAATGGGCACTGGTGGAGAGATAGGTGTTGGAATACTGTATGGCTGAAACTTAACTGTGTATCTCACAGTGACTCGATTGAAAAAAGAGTGCAGCAAAATATGAAGATACGTAAAGCAGGAGAACTGTACACTGAAATAGTTTAAAGTGATTGGATGTGAGGGCGATCTGGCTGCAACATCTGTCACCCCATTGATCGCCAGGGTTGATTTGGCTGATCTGGCTGGCTAGGCAGATGTCCCCTTCCTCCCTCACCACTCCATGTGCGTCCCTCCCGAAGCTGCGCGCTTGTTGGAAGAGGATGGCCTTCCACGAATAGAGATGGACCGGTCTTCGGTCGAGTGTATGAGTAGCTGCGCTCCTCTGCTAGAACCTCCAAACAAGCTCTAAAGTGATTAATTTTATATTATGTATATTTTACTAGAAACAAAATAATTCTGTGCCCTATGCCCACTGTTCCTGGTGGGGTTTGGGGTGGGGACGTGGAGTAGTATCATGATCAGTCTTAACACTTTAAGAGACATCAGACCCCTGCTGAAGCTTCTTTTACCCAAATGTGGAGGTCAAAACAAGTATATCCTCCAGGAATGCCTTTCATTTATGTAACACTTTAAATTAGAGAAAGACTTTTGTGTGTCCTTACCCATTTAATTCTTATAACAGCCTTATAAGGGGAGTAGTTTTAACCCCTTTTAATTAATGTAAGAAAGTGAAGCTGAAGAGACTAACTTGCCTGAGACTTGTGGAACTATTAAGGTGATAAGTGTTCAAACTCTTTACTTCCTACTAGACCATTGATCTCCCAATGTACAGAAATAGTTGTCAACTCGCTATGAACTTTACATTTAAAATGTCAAAAGCAAGTGCTATGCTTATTAAACAGAATGAAGAAAGAGGGAGATAACATCATTACCTTCTCAGTGACCGAGGAATAATGATGATACCGATTTTTTTCTCTGAATCCTATTAACTTATCTCTGACTTTTATAATACTTTCTATTTGCTAAACTTGGTCATGTTTAAACTCTGGTTGACTATTAGTACTTTTGGACTTTAATATGGTATTTGGGGAGCTTTCCTTTAAAACTCATTGTTTTAGGTTGCAGCTATTTCATATTTCATCTAAATTCCCCCAAGTTTTTCATCTAAGTTTAATAAAAACAAGTAGGCAGGTCATTCTCTCATTGTTATGCAAGAACAGTTTCATATTGGATCTTAAATTTTCTTTTTTATTACTTTTCTTGGAGTAGATGGCTAATGCAGATGGAAGAAACCTGGCAACACCCCATCACAGGTCTTCATAGTTTTATGAGTTCTCCCCAGAACAAATGGCTGGGTCAGTGCAACCTCTTGATTTTTCAACATGCAGCTAATAATCATTTTTATCTGAAACTGCCTTGGAGAAACCAACTCAGAAACTCAGTTCTCCTGCTTCAAAGTGCTAACTCCATTATTTTCTCTGTGTCCAGGAAGACTCAGTGTCTCTTGTTTGAGGGGTGTTGCTGACACCCTCTTGCTGTGAATGAGTCCCCTGAATTTATTTACTGGTAACATAAACACACTCCTCTCCTGGAGGCAGTAGGCAGGAGTTGTCTATATTCTGTGAATCAAGTTGAGAATTTGTGCTCCTGAGTCCTCTCTATGTGTTAGCAGTCAAATCTGCACTAAAGGTTCAATACTGAGCATTCAGAGATTGGCCTTTCTCGGCCCTCTTTCATGTTGTTCCAGCTACTGTGAGGCGAGAACAGTGTACCATCTGTTATTATTGAATTTACTGCATGGATTCTAACGTTAGATCTCCCACTTCACATATATGAAGATGGGAGCAATCCACTTTAAAATGCAGATCGTACTGTATGACTCTTTTTCAAGTTTTACTGTAAATTTATATTCCAGGATTCTTTGAACAAGGTTATTGGAAAAGCGAAATACTTTACAGAAAAATCACTGGTGCTCACTTGGACAGTATTAGGCATGTTTCCCATGTATATATCTGGTTCTTAGCTTTATTCCCATAGTTTATATTTATGAAGCGTCTAGTCAGTGCCAGAAACTGTGGTAAGCACTAATGTGCATGCATGCATGCATTGTGTTATTTAATTCACACCACAGATTCATGTGGTAACTACCAACATACTCGTTTTAACCAAAAAAAATTTTTTTAATGATTGAATTGTAAAGAAGTTAAATGGGCATTAATCCTGTAAGTAGCTTGTATTGTTCCCAAATATTTTTCAAATGTGTAGAATTGTGTCAATTTCAAGAAATGGTTGTTTTGTGCTTACAATCCCAAATTAAAGAATGTTAAGAATTAGTCCTTCCAATTCCTGTCATATAACTTATACTCTTTAATATTTTCTTCTCTTAGGAAATGACAGAACTTTTAGGGTGACATCACTTTTCATATTACTTCATGTTTTTCAGATCATTATTGTTTTCCCTTCAACTTTTATTGTGTGTGATTTAAATAAATAACAGGGAAGCTTTTGTTCATCTTTCAAAACTGTGTTTTCCAATGCCTCAGTCACTTTACTTTCAACTAACTTCAGACTTCATTCAGTCTTCCTATATCCTATTAAAGAATGAAAGATACGAAGTATTGTGAAAATACAGTAAAAAAAATTCAGTGGCGAACAGAAATTAGCTTTATATTATGAATGATATAAATTTTTGGTTTTAATGCTGCTTACAAAATACAAAAAAAATGCAGTCAAGCTTTATAATTTTAGTGACTTTTCGTTTGAAAATGAAATGAAATGAAAATATATTCTTGCATGTATATAGTTTCAAAAATGTTTGCAATTGGTTTAAGATTAAAGAAGGTTAAGTATTTCTTGAAGATCCGCTTTGTCTTCATAATTTTAGGAGATGATAGACTTTAAGAAATGTCTTTGACCGGAAAATTTTATGATTTAATGTGTTAAAGATGAACATGCCAGTAAGTTTAATTCTACTCAAGGTGGTGAATATTAGATGATCTTCTTATGCAGTTTTTATCAAGAGCTGAAAATTTGCTAACTTACCTGTTGAATCTGTCTTCCCCATTAGAGATAATTTTGTTTGATTTTAAGAAATAACCTGATTCTCAAAGAGAAGGAAAGTGCCCACCATAGAGGCAGGCAAAGGCAGGAGCAGGAAGGAATCTGGGGACATTGGTGGTGGAAAATGTGTACTGGTGATGGGACAGGTGTTGGCACTTTATATTACTGAAACCCAGTTATGAACAACTTTGTAACTGTGCATATCACTATGATTCAATTAAAAAATAAATGAAAAGAATTTTTTTAAAAATAAAATAGCCAATTTTTATGTCTCAATATTAGAATCTTTTTCATCATCTTTTATTGTCTGATCACTGTCTTTCAGTTCCTAAGCCTTGATTAAAATGCTAAAAGATACTTTCATGTTACCCACCATAGCATGTATCTTTGTTTCTTTTGTACTAGAGGCATCAAACATCGGACCTTCTCTTATGATACATACTACCGTCCCATTTGGAGTTCAGCATTTGGATCACAGCATTGAGCATGCGCAGGAGTTAATCCTCCAGCAGCTGCAAAATATTTTGCCAGGTTTGCCTCAGCCAATTGCTATCAAGTGCCAGAAATGGAGACACTCACAGGTAACCAGATAATACAGTGGTCTGAGCACACTTTTTTCTTATAATCAGCAACTGATTTTACTTTCTCATTCTTCACCTCTATAGTTAAAAAATATAGTTATTGTTTTCTATAATTTTCAATTGTTAAAGTATAAATGTAAAATTAAAATTTGTTCTCCAAAAGAAATGTGTTTGCCTTAAGTGTAAGTGCAAACCTCTGCAGAATTTTTTAAAATACTTTTATTTGTCCATCAGAGGTGCATACAATTTTCCATGTTTTAAATTGTAGTTCTCAATACTTATATACAATGAAACTTTGTCGTATGTCATACAAATGAAGCAAGTTATATATCAAAACACAACTGTGTCTTTGGGGGTTCTCAGTCAGTACTTTGGGTGTTTAGAGACCACTTTAACCTCCCACCTTTTTTTCAGTATATCAAATCAACCTTGTAAGTGTATGTTGCCACCATAGTTTTCATTTTAACTTTCTACTTTTATTTTGACTATTTCCCAGAAAGCTCTTTGTGGGAGAAAGATGAATACCTGAACAGATGAGCTATTTGAGTTGTTTTTCAGGATTAGATAAACTTGATGATCAGTCTGTTCATTCCAACTAAAAGCTCTTTGCACTAAGTAAATGTTGACTTTTCTGAAATATCGCTGCATAGTCTAACAGAAGTTTGTGAGTAATCATAGCAAATGCCTTCTGTTCTGTAAACTCAGTGGTAACGTGATTTGGAGAGAATGAGGCAAAGGACAGACATTGAGAACAGAAGCAGTGAGTTGTCTGTTTTTCTTCCCAAAAAACCCATTGATTAGCAGCTTTGTCATCACTATTGGTTATCTGGGCTGTGAAACCTTTAGAAAAAGTAGTGTTTTGAGAAACTGCAGTGGATTTTGTATATTTTAAAGACTTTCAAAAATCAGAGGAAATGGTAAATTACTTTCTAAAACATTAAGGCAGGTCTCTGTGTTTACCCATATCTTCTCAAGTTAAATTACACAGTGAACCTTTGGAAAAATATTTACTTAAACACATCATGGTCACTTTAAATGGCTTTACTTTTCCTTTTTCAACGCACTGAAAAATCTCCGCTGCTCAATTTTAAAATTTTAACTCAGTTTTAGGTTGGCTGCAGAGAAAACAGACAAATAATCTTGCTGAAGATTTGAAGCTAGATTTGCTGCAAAGTATTTTGCAATTCATAGAGTTCTTTAAAAGAAACAATAGTTCTTAAATTTTCTATTATAAAGGAATCACAACATACTTCACACCACACCCTCTTCCTTTCTTCTCTCTAACAAAGGGTGGAATCATTCAAACCCTCACAGACCAAAGAACTGGTAATTACTGCCCTAGTCAGAGGTTGTGGGTTAAGGGTTCCTTATCCTGGATTCCGCTTGACTTTGCATTTTTTTCCTCTTTTTTGGGGGACCTTATACTGTGACCCAGAATCCAGTTATCAGAGGAGGAGATAAGCAGGGAGAAAAGAAAAAGGAAGATAAGAATATAAAAAGTAGCCCTGTGGGCTTTTGAGTTTCTACCCTACTACAGCAATGACACAATGACGTGGAACTAATTCCCTAAAGTTGGCTAATAATGACAAGAAGCAGCCTGCCTGCATTTAAGTCCTTCCCACTTTTTTTAACTGTTCTTGTTTCCTACAACTGCTCTAGCAGATGGCCCAGTGATTTTATTTCTTAGCATCTACCTCCAAAACACAAAAATATTGATCCAAAAAAAATATGTGCACAACCTACTTTCATTGAAGCACTAATTATGATAGATAGAATATGGAAATGACCCAGAGGTCCAATGACACAAGAATGGAGAAAGAAGTTGTGGTGTATATAGACAACAGACTACTACGTGACCCTAAGAAAAGATGAAATCTTGCATTTTTATGCAACTTGGATGGAACTGGAGGATATCAAATTGAGAAAAATGAGTTAGAGAGAGAAGGACAAATACTGGATGTTCTCTCTTATACATAGCCTATAAAGAAAGAGATAAAACAAGGGAATAGACAATATAAAATGATGGTGAAACTTAAGCAGTAGAAAGAGGTCTGGGGTATGAAAAGGTGAATTAGAAGTAACATAGTGCCAGTGATGGTGGGTCTCAGGTGGGATTTTTTTTGAGGGGGAGGGGGCCGATAGTAACTGTACCATAAATGTTAATTCTGTGATAAACATGTGACCTAAACTATACTTAAAAATTACTAAATTAATCCAAAAAAGCATTTTAAAGCAAAAAAACCCACAGGTAGAGAATTATACACTTCTGAGTCATAAGTTCAAAGATGGTTTCTTTCTTAGCTAAAATAAAAGTAGCTACAGGTCTTTTGTTCCATCGTTCTAGGAGAGAATTTATTTTCTTGTAGTTTGAGCCTAACCGTGGCTCACATTCCTTGATCTGAGACCCTGTCCTCTATCTTCAAAGTCAGCAACAATATAGCCCTCTCAGTTATATCATTCTGACTCTTCTGTTCTGTAGCTATTCACCCTTCACGATTTAAATATTTATCCCGTTAATATAACTCGAAGCCTAGGCTGTGATGCATTGATGTAAGGCTTCTGTGGAAATTATAATATATTAGTTCTCTCAGAAGAAGAGTAATGATAATTGAAAATACTTTCCTATACCTCAACAGGGAACATTTAATCAGTTTAATAACCCTAATATTCTTACTGCTAACATTTGCTCTGCTTTCCTTTGTTTCAGGATTCATCATGATGCCTTTCTCAGACTTTCTTGGCTGCCTAATTTGCTTTTACTTTTAACTCTTAATTTTCCTTCTTTCTTTAGTCCCTAAAAAATATCAGTGTCCATTTCCCCACTTCTTCTTGTCATATTCAGTGATTACTTAATTTTTAAAAAATCGCCATGATTATCAAGAGAGTAATGTAGTGGGAAAAAGACAAAGTTGGGGAATAAATACATTGATAATCTTAGACAAAAAAAGTATTTGTGCTCTTAATCTTTGACTGTAGAATTAGGAATCAATTCTCTTGTATAGTTGTTTTTCCTCATGTCCTCTTTTCCTCTTAGATTGGACTTTCTCTTGGGACATGAACTGTTCGAGAATTGAATAAAATCTATGAGCAGAGAGATTACCATCATTTTAGAATATTCCTGTGATACATAAACAAAGAGAATTTATGAGCAATCTGAGATCCCCTATGTAAGTTACTCTATTGTAACTGAAAAATTAAAAGCAGAGCCCCTCATGACCCGGTCATGAGTTGTAGTATAGTTCAAGAAACACGTTTCACCAACCTAAAAGGGATTTTCAGTAATCTCCATCTCTACTGCTATTGATTTTTCCCTCAGAGGCCACACCCAAAGTTGGGGAGTGACAGTTACACAGGTCTCTTAAACTTACACCTATACTATAGAGCTCAGGATCCAGAGGTGCTAAGAGGCTACCAGGGCCAGTGGGCCATGTGGTCCCAGTGATTGAACCCAGGGCCTCGCACATTCAGCTATATCTCTTAACTAGTCTATTTTTTTAGAACTTTAAAGAATATCCAAAACCCATCATCCTCTCTATTTTCATTCCCTGTCTCTTTTCATTCTGCATTAATCCCACTTCTGGAATCTCCATCATAGCTTTTACTTATCTCTTTTTCTCATTATTTTCTTCCATCTCCATTCAGACTTTTCACTTTTGACTCTACCTTTTCCCATGAGACAGTATATCTTTGTACATTTCAAGGAGAATTCTCTAATTTGTCTTGCTCAATTCCAACTGATTTGCCTCAAATAGACATCCTTAATTAGAGAAGTTAAAAAAAAGAAATAAAAGAGAACAGAAGGCATTTGCAATAATTTATGCAAGAATTTTCATTAGAGTAATGTTTGGTGGTAATGTGGAGAGTACTCACATAAAAATCTGAGATCATCCATACATTTATTGGCTCCCTCTTGAGATTATTTTTTCTGGTGGATAACTGAATAATTTTAGCCTTGAAGGTTAGGTGGTTATTGATGTTTTTATTTTTCACTTTATTATAAATTTTTTTTCAATTTATTTTTGTTTGTTTCTGAGCCAGACTCACTTAGGGATCACTCTTGGTAGTGCTCAGGGGACCATATGGGGTTCTGAGAATTAAAGTAAGGGTCAGATGTGTGCAAGGCACAAAGCTTACCCACTGTGCTATCTCTCTGGCCATATTCTTATGCATTTTAAATGGCATCTTTTTTTTACTAACATAAATATATATGCAGCATTATATTTTTTTTTAATTTATTTATTGAATCACTGTGGGAAAGGTTACAAAGCTTTCAGGTTTATGTCTCAGTCATGCTAATATCAAACACATTTCCCTTTACCAATACTTATTTTTTACCATGAAGAACCCCAATAAAACCCCACCCCCCACCCCTCCCCGTCCCTGTGAGGCAGATGAATTCTAGTTAACACTCTATCTGCTTTGATTAGATTCATTGTTTCAATAAAAGATTCACCACTATTATTTAGAGTTTACCCCCCCCCCCAAATCAGACATGTTGAAAAAGCATTGTGAAGTGATTTGCTTTTTACGGCTGGGTTCAAGAATTAAATGTTGGTTTTCGATTTCTGCTCTTTTACCTATTGACCCTGGAAGTATTTCTACTGAAAGTCAGATAGTTAAGAAATTGGTTTCTGTGTTCTGGAGTCCTGGCCGTGCTGGAGAGCCGCTCGCGGGGGGCAACCGGTGGCCTCGGTAGGGCGTGAAGGGCGGAGCGAAATGCCCCCCTTCCCATGAGGTTTTAGTCGCCCCCACACCCCCGGCTCATACCTGCTGTCCACAAGGCTCCCATGTGGCCGCCATCTTTCTTTCCAGAGGGAGGAGGGCGGAAGGGAGCAACACCCTTTCCCCTCTGGGCAGAAATGATTGCCTGGATTAACGCATAGTCCTTTCACTTTTCTGCTCCAAGCTGCTGGGTTCTGCATTAGGTCATTGTGCTTCTGGGGCTGTGGCCGTGCTGGAGAGCCGCTCGTGGGGGCAACTGGTGGCCTCGGTAGGGCATG